TAGACAGCTGAGGGTTGTCTTCTCATGACAACCAATAATAAGTAAATATCACTTTGAGTGCTATGTAGAAAATGCGCTGAGGGGTGCAAGGGTGGAAGGTGGTGCTGGTGTGGAGTGTACCCAGCAGTGATGGTGAGGAGTGCTTGGGTGTGTTCTGTGGAGGACCACTGAAAGGAGGCAGTGACAGTGGGAAACAGATGAAGGAAGAATAACTCATGGGTTTTTAGTGAGGATATCTATGATATTTTAATCAAGTTGAGTTTCTGTTTTGTTTTGAAGATGAACAGGTTCTGGATAAAAATCAAACGTTCTGTTGTCCTTGAAAAGTCAGCTGCTGGAAGCAGAAAGAAAAACCCATTTTCTGTTTCAAATCTGCCTTTTTGTGTTTCAGTTGGGACTCTCAGCTCCTTGGCTTCACCTTCAATGACATGTTTATCCGCATCTCCACCCGCCTTCCCTCCAAGTACCTCTATGGCTTTGGGGAAACTGAGCACACATCCTATAGGAGAGACTTGGAGTGGCACACTTGGGGGATGTTCTCCCGAGACCAGTCCCCAGGGGTAAGGACAGAGCATTTGGGATCTGTGTCTCTGCTTCTCTCCACCCACACTGCTCAGGCTGCGGGCTTCATCTTCCCAAACTCCACTTGGTCCCCTCATTCTGGTTTTAGACGAGTAGGCCAATTCTCAGGCTCCTTTGTTTCACGTGTTTAATTGATTTCATGGAGAAAACTAGACCCATCTTAGCAAACACATTTTTGTTGAGTTTCTTTCTCAGGCATAATGTCTTTTAAACTCCTACTGCTTCTCCCCATGACTCTCCAGTACAAGAAGAATTCCTATGGTGTCCACCCCTACTACGTGGGGCTAGAGAAGGACAGCAGTGCCCACGGAGTGTTCCTGCTGAACAGCAATGCCATGGGTAAGGCCGTCCAGCACCTCCCTTATTTTGGGGGCTACCAATCATGGTTGAGTCAGTTTAGAATGTGTTTAGCCTAACTCTTCCTTGAAGTCAAAATTTTCGCTTAATGGGCATTGGTATTTAATTTTTCTTTGTGTTTAGCCTTTCTATTTATTTCAGTATAGGATCATGTTATAAGAAGATTTAACCCAACTCTTATTTTGGTAAAAATCACGTAAGAAGGGATAGTAACACCACGTGGGTCCCAAATATCCTGGAGGTCAGCTCATGGGAGCCAGTTATATAATTTGAATTAAGCTAAAACTATGGGTCAGAGAAGTTGTTCTGAGGGTCTGAGTTCGTAAGGTATATTGAAAAACTGCCTCTAGGGTACTCTGCTCAGTATCTGGGTCACGGGATCCATACCCCGAACCTCAGCATCACACAATATTCCCATGTAAGAAACCTGAACGTGTATCTCTTTATCCAACATAAAACTTGAAATGTAAAATACAGTGATTTTACAAGAGTAGAATGACAAAATACAGTAAAGTACCCCAAAGAGAATCAAACCCAGGAATAGGACCTGTAGACTTCCACTGAACTTCTTCAGTTCTGTGTGAGTATGATAGAAAATGCCTGCTCTTACCACTGTATGATAGGGAGGGAGCAGGAAGATGGAGAATGTGTGGATTTCAGGGTGATGTGGAAGGTTTCCCTCGTGATGTGAAAAGTTTCCATCTGGGTTGGCATTTTTCTTCATTTTCAGACGTGACGTTCCAGCCCCTGCCTGCCTTGACATACCGTACCACAGGGGGAGTTCTGGACTTTTATGTGTTCTTGGGGCCAACTCCAGAGCTTGTCACCCAGCAGTACACTGAGGTAGGAAGAAATCCACTTGTTTATCAAGCGCTTATACAGCACATTCTGGATGCCAGAGCCCACATTGATTAGTGTAACTCTCAGATGATAACTGGAATTATTGGTCTTTGTTGGAGAGAGATTATAGAAAAAGAAAAAATAAACACATTCAGATTATCATTAAATGTATAGCCTCTGTAAGCATTGCAGAAGAGCAGAAGATATAGTGGTACCAGTGGTGGTGATGGTAGTGATAGTGTGGTGGTGGTGGTGTTTGTGGTTATGGTGGTGGTGGTGGTGATGGTGGCAGTAGGGGCTGACGGTGGGGATAGTGATGTGGGAATGGTGATAATGATGGTGGTAGTAGTGGTAGTGGTGGTGATGGTGATGATAGTGGTGGTAGTGGTGATGGGTGTGTTGGTGATAATCATAGTGGTGATGGTGACAAGGGTGGGAGTGATGATGGTATTTGTGGTTGTGATGGTGATGATACTATTTGTGGTAGTGATGGTGATGATGATGATGGTGGTGGTGGTTATGATGGTGGTAGTGACAGTGGGGTGGTGTGAGGAGTGTGATGGTGATAGTGGTTGTGATGATAGTGGTGATGATGGGATGGTGGTGGGGGTGGTAGTGGGGTGGTGGTGATGGTAGTGAAGGGTAATGATAATGGTAATGATGGTGGTGGGGGCACTATCATGGTACTGTTGGTGATGGTGAAAATAGTGATGATGGTGGCGTTGATAATGATGATGGTGACCATGACCATGGTGGTTGTGCAGCAACAACAGACACTTATATACTAGCAAGTGCACATCACTGATTTATCACTTGCTGCATATTAGAGCACTTCACCCATATTAACTCATTCATACCTCACAGGAAAGCGATGAGGCAGATGCTGTTATTATCCCTTATTTACAGATGAAGAAACTGAAGCACTAAGAGTTTACTTAATGTTTGCTTAACTTCACACAGGTAGCAGGACTGGAGCCTGTATGCTAAGCCAGGCATTTGTCTCTGATTCTGGGCTTCTTAATGAGTTACCTACAGTGTCTCTAGGAATAGAGTAAAATCAGCTTTTCCATAATTTTCAAGAAGGAGGTCAAGCCTAGCAGAAAGCTTTCTCCAAGTATCCCAGTGGCTCTATATCCTGTCAGTTTTGATGTGGATTTCAATTAGTTAGTTGTCTAGCTTGGGGCATGGAAAAATATTCTTGTTACTTGATGCACAACTTCTATCTGGTGCCTCTGTTCTGAGGACTAATACTTTCTGTCTATTTTTTCTAGTTGATTGGCCGGCCTGTGATGGTACCTTACTGGTCTTTGGGTTTCCAGCTGTGTCGCTATGGATACCAGAACGACTCTGAGATCGCCAGCTTGTATGATGAGATGGTGGCCGCCCGGATCCCTTATGTACGTTCTCAGTCATGGCTCTGGAGTTTGGTAACTAACCCAGGTGCCTCTGTGTCTGGGCTCATTTGTCTAATGTTTGTGGAATTCTATAAAGACATAATGTTCTTTTTCAGGCAATATCATAGCATCACCCGAGCACAGTAATGTAGTTAAGGGTGCTTGTTTCCATGTTCTAGAGATGGTAGCTCAAGACTCACTGTGATTTCCCGGAGGGGGAGATAGGCTGGCTCCAGGGCTATTTCTGCTGTCTCATGTTTCCTTCCATTTCTTTCACATGGCTTCAAAACATTTAGTCAAAAACGTCTTTGGTTTCATGAGAATAAATAATATCCCACAGTTCTTTTACTTAATTCTTGAAAAGACTAACCACAAATCGGTCAGACAACTGTACATGTGAATACAATCTCAGTTCCTGCATCAGCTCTGAGCTAATAACTGATGGATTACACAAATCCTGGGATGGGTTTCTAGAGGACATACAGATGGAAATAAACCTTATTCTTCAATGGAGGATGGCAGGGGACCCAGTCATCAGAGAATTGATCCCATGAACCATCCCACATTTAATTTTATCCCTCTTTTCTATTGTTTACAATTGTTCCATTAGTGGAACATAGTGTTTCCATTAGTGGATAGTGAAATGCAGTATTACTCAGGAAGTCTCAGGAAGAATGTTGTGTATGATTACCCTCAAGATT